CTCGCCAACCCCGCCGCCGACAGTGCCGGCAGCATCTGCGGGAGATCCGTGCTTACCGCCTCCGTGCTCCCACCACCGCGGGCGCAGCTGTGCTTCCACTGCTGCCAGGGGCATGCATAATTCATGGTGCCCATCTTTAAGAAAGGGAAGATGGAGGATTTGGGGGAATGACAGACCAGCCAGTCTGACCTCGATACCTCAAAAGATCATGAAGCAGGTCCTCAAGAAATCTATTTTGAAGTACTTGGGAAAGAACAATGTGATCAGGACCAGCCAGCACAGATTCACCAAGATCAAGTAATGCCTGATCAACCTGATTTCCTCCTATGATATGGTGAGTTGTGGATAGGAGAGCAGTGGATATGATATACCTTGACTTTAGCAAAGCTGCCGACACTGTCTCCCATGACATTCTCACTAACAAAGCTAAGGAAATACAGACTAGATTAAAGCACTGTAATATGGACACATAACTGGTTGGATAATTGTGCTCAGTGAGCAGTCATCAATGGCTCAATGTCTAGTTGGGAGGAAGTATCAAGTGGGGTTTCCCAGGGGTCTGTCCCGGGTCTAGTACTGTTCAACATCTTCATTAATAATTAGACAATAGGATTGAGTGCATGATTAGCAAATCTGTGGATGAGACCAAGTTGGATAGAGTTCCAGACACACTGGAAAGTAGGGGTAGGATACAGAATGACTTGGATAGACTGGAAGAAATGGTCTGCAATAAACCAGGTGAGATTTAACAAGGACAAGTCCTGCACTTGGGATGGGATAATTGCATGCAAACAGGCTAGGGAATGACTGGCTAGGTTTTGATACTGCAGAAAAGGACCTGGGGGTTATAGTGGACCATAAGCTGAATATAAGATGTTGCAAAAAAAAACCCGATAGCATACTGGATTGTATTAACAGGAGTATAACCTGCAAATCAAGTGACGTGATTCTTCCGCTGTATTCAGCACTGGTGAGGTCCAGTTTTGAGCCCCACACTTCAAGAAGAATGTGGACAGATTAGAAAGAGTCCAGCGCAGAGAGACAAAAATCATTAGATGCCTGGGAAACAAGACCTACGAGAAAAGGCTGAAAGAACTAAGGTTATTTATTCTGGAGA